TGATAGCTATCAAAACGCCTGCCATTTGAAATAAATATTCTACTAACTCCCATAGAATTGATAAGTGAACTTGATCAGTTGCCTCACTAAGTGTGCTGCGGTGTCCTCTGACTTGGCAGATATGCACTTTGAACATTACGCCCATTATTGACCGAATCATCGTTTCAGATCTGATATAAAGCCTAATAACCTAGTCTTATTTATTCATGTAATTACCTTCAACGCTCTATGCTGGTGTTCTTGAAACTTGTGGGTTACTTTTTAGAATCAATTATTTCGTTTATTTTGTTTAAGAAGTTATGACTGATGTTCTAATTTGGCTCCTTCATTGTATTTAAGCTAAATTTCTAAATATTTACTGATCTCACCCATACCCGACATAAAATAAAAAATAGATAATCATTATATATAACCCTTCATGTCCTACTTGGCCGGGAAACGGAATTACTGTGATCGAAAGTTTTCTATTCCTTGTTATTTCACTAAAAATTATATTTCCTATTCAAAATTATCAAAACCAACCACTTACGTGTTAATAATCATTTCGAAGTGATAAAATGTCAATACTAGTCAGTAATTAACTCTCCAACACTTCACTCAAATAGGACGTTATAACGAATCCTTTGCGTATTTGAAAAAAGGCTGTTATTAGCGAATACAGCAGCGATGGATATGAATGATTTCACTATAAACAGGGTCATTGGATTCGGAACATTTACAATCACTTATGAAGTGGTCTGCAATCGAAGCGAACAAAAGGACACAAAGTATGCCTTGAAGAGGTATTTCCTCAGTGGAGCTGAAGTCGTTCGTAGAGCGCTGAGAGAAAGGAACGCTTTAGCCCGTCTTGCATCTGGAGCCCAATCATCTCCGTTCATTCAAACCCTGTTCTGGGCTGTCGGCAGTTGGAAGACTCCAAGTATTGTAACCACCATAGGCAGCAAATTTAATCTCAACGATTTGAGGAGGGCCAAAGGTCTGCTAAAAGATGATATTGCTCGTTTCTACATTGCAGAGATAATGTGTGGCCTGGAGTATATCCACCAAATGGGCGTTGTTCACAGAGATGTCAAGCCTGAGAACATTTTACTCTCGGAAGGGGGTCATGTTATCATTATTGACTTCGACATGGCTTATGAGCTTCAACCAGATCCACTTCAAAAAATTCCGTCAGTAATAGGTGCTGGAACCATTGAGTTCATGGCACCGGAAATAGCAAATAGCGCTGTGGTTACAACAAAGGCTGATGTTTGGAGTTTGGGTTGCCTCAGTGCTTATCAAGTATCTAGAAGGTTTCGGCCAATGATATGTGACAAAATTAAAGCCGCAATGGAGGGTGTTGTCGAAATATCAGATTTTGATTCGTTATCCACTGAAATTAAGGACTTCCTTAATGCTTGTCTCAAGGTGAATCATACTGAGAGACCGGAAGTAGGCTGCTTAAAGTCCATGGCATTTTTTAACTCAATAGACTGGACGCAAGCTGCTGCCGGTCGAATGGAGCCACCATTCAAATTAACTGACCTATCATCTTGTCAAAGTAATGATTTCAAATTTGATCCCTGCAATAAGGAGCTACTACGACGTGCTACTGGAACGAGGAGGCCAAAAATCGAGGAGCTTTGTAGTCCTTCTAAAGAAATCTCCTGCGAGTTTGAGCCACAAAATACGCCAGAATCGTCAACACATGGTTACAGTGGAGCAAAATTGAGAGAATTATTTAAAAATTTCAATTTCACTAACCCGTTAGTCAATCAACAATCGAATGATAAGGAGTAAGTAAGGTCATAAAAGTTTGAATCGATTTCTCCGCCTTTTATCCCCTCAGTTTCTCCGATATGAATGCTTAAGATCGTGATTTTCCTAACAAAGAAGAGCGCTCAATTTACCAAAATAAGTTTTTGTTTCAGATAATGCCTCGAATAGGCCCTGTTTCTATCCATCGAACAGTTATGATCGCACTTGTGTTTTCTATATCAGTTTTTGATCAAAGCAAAATATATGTAATATCTGGTTTTGTTTGGCTTATCAAATGTTCTCCAAAAACCAGTGTTATATTTTTAAATTCTGTTTCAATATGAAATAAGGGAAAATCGTTTTAAGCCAAGTCTGAGGATCACACAAGTGCTCTCACAAGTTTTTGGGTAGATAAGACAAGGCCCATCGAATGCGTGGGGTACAAAGGAAGCTACTGGAATAATAAATGGTGAAGGAGAGGGAGCTACAGAAGCACATGACGATGCATATTAGAGAATAGGGTGGTTGGGACGAAGAGACTGTAGGAGTCGTCTAACATGAGGTGAACTAAGGAGAATCGAGTAGGCCATCGAATTTGGACCTTAGAGATTTTGGTTTAAAAGAGGAGAAGGGCATGATGCATCGGAGGCAGTTATCATCGGGCCTTCAGGTGAATGCTCAGCAAAAGCGCATTGAAAAACAACCATGATGAGGATTCGAGGGAGGAGTAGAAGGGGAGGGGGGG